GGACTCCAGGATCATGACCTGAGCCGAAGGCAGTCGCTTAACCAACTGAGCCACCCAGGCGCCCTCTAACTAGAATTTAAATAAAAATTTGAAAAAGAAAAAAACTAAAAAAAAAACCTGACATACTTCAGTTAGAAAAATGTGCTTACTTAACAGAAAATGGAATTGATATTGGTGCGTTTTCTTTATATTTTAACATGTACATTTAAAAAAAAAGGTTAAGAAGAAAATGTATATGTCAGTTCATTCTACGGACAATGGCTCTTTATATATTTCAATGGTCAGAACAGAGTTGCATAAGTGAAAAGGAACATATATTCATAAAAAGTAATTTGAAAATGACATTTTTATAACATTTTTTCCCCTGGAGTTTATAAGAATTTTTCTGAGACCCCCGTGGAAGCCAGGAGTTTAAATAAATTCTAGGTGCTTCAGAGCCACTGGGATTAGTGTTCCTCACCCTTGTCTCTCAGATTCCTGGTCAGTCAGACACAACAGGCAGCCATAGAGGAAGTACTAATTGTATACAGAATAAGCCATTTTATCAGGGAGAAAATAAAAACCCACCTCTCACAAAGGGACTAATTATAGGTCCTGCAGAACACCATTTCTACAAGTTGAAGCCAAAGCCAATTCACCTGTTTCCTTTTTTAAGTCAGTTTTCTTTGGGCATGTTTAACAATGTATACCTAATTTTTATGTGTTTTTACAGTGACTCAATATCTTTCTTATAACTTGAAACAAGCCTAAAATAGCTTTTTGTTTCGATTGTACTTGACAGAATAGATTCGGCGTATTGCTAAAATTCTGAAGAGTGTTTCCACATAGTTTGGGTTCATGTGATAGACTGGAAGGTGCTTAAGACAGTCTTCAAGAAGCCATTCAGGATGAAGTCAGCTGTGCTGACATCTTCTGAAATGGTGTCACTGGCAGATTTGAAGATAGTTGCATGCATCTGTTCTAAGTAACCTTCTCCTTCTCCCCCTTCACATATTCTGGTCCTGCCATTCTCTGTGTTCCAGACAAGGAGGAATTTGTTGGCTCTGGTCAGAAGTTCTTTATCGGTAGGTAATGATTAATACGAGGTGGGTCGTTGTCACTTGTCAAGTTTTATTCATACCATCCTGACTCTTCTGAAAGCTTCTTTTGCCAATGAACATTTCCAGACTTGTTCCTTGTTCTGCTTTCCTCTATCCCCCAACTCCTTTTTTTGGGTCCATATTCTGCTGTGTTGATCACTCATTATAATTCATCTGGTTTCCACTGGATAGCTCTTAATTATTCATCAAACACAAATCCTTGGTTCTCTTCCAGACTCTTTCATGACGTACTTATGTTACTCTAAAGAGACCAGTTCTCTGACTACTAAACTTGGTGTTGATGGCCACATTTCTGTAATCCGTCAACTGGTCAGAGCTTTCTGAAGGACCCATTTAAAGGTTCCTGTAAAACCATGCTGGGTCTCCTCCAAGAGACAGTGGGGGAACAGCAGGGTCGGTAAAGTGAAATGTTGGTGCCTCGGGCCTGGATACACATTGGAATCATTGAGAGAGCTTTAAAAAAACCAAAAAACCATGGGGCCACTTTTCTGCATCCCTTCAAGAATACCTCAGCCCCAATGCCATTACATAAGCCAAAAGAGCAGACGTCTGCACAAAGGTGGGGAAGAAGCAGCCTGGGGTGGGGCATCACTGAGCCGTGTGAGGAGAGCTTTTGTGCAGGGGACAAGGGTCGCCTGGTACAGGTCGTCAGGGCCAGAGCAAAGTGAGGAGGACCGCGGCCTCCCCTGGGCTCTGACACTTCGCAGCCTCTACAAAGATGGCCTCCTCACCTCGCGTGGCCTCTGACACTTCCTGCCACGTTGCCGATACCATCCGTCCCTCGTCCTGCACAGGTGCTTTCGATTAATACAAGTAAATGTACTGAGGACCATCGGTCAGGTTTCTCACTGTTGAGAAAGGAGTTGCATGTACGGCAAGGGTGGAGGCAGGTGGCTGGAATGAATCCTGTAGTGTTGAGCTTGCATTGTAGGTCTTGGTGCGAACTCCTGGTGTGCAACATATATAGATAGATACAGATGTGTGTGTGTGTGTGCGTGTGTTTATATACACACAGAGTCCAGAACTCTATCTCCGGGAAGGACCTGGGAACAGCTCTTTTTTGAAAATACCAGAAGGCCCTGAGATTTGGTAGGCAGATGAAGCAGGATTCTAGAAGTTCAGAAACCAAGGCTAGTGTCCAGCTGTGCCACTGATCACACCGTTGTGAGCAGCCACCGGACCTGTCTGTGTCTTAGAGTATCCATCTGAGAACTGTGGGTAATCAGCCTGCTGCACTGTTTCCCTCATGGCCCAGGCCACTATCCTCCGGGGCACCGCAAGGGCCTCCCAACTGCTCTCCTGTGAAGCTACACTTTACGTCCTCCCCACAGCAACAGAGGACTTCTTCAGAAACGTAAACCATGTCACACCCATTTCTCTACCACCCAGTGACTTCTCAGCGCCCTTGGGCCACAATCCAACGCTCAGCTGGAGCCCCCTGCCACCTCCCCTGCTTCCTCACCAGCCCCATTTCCTACCATTCTCCCTGCTGCTCACCACCTTGCCTCACCAGGGCCTCCTTGTGCTTCCCCCCCAACACTCCAGGAACACTCCGTTCTCTGCACCTTAGCAGTTGCTGTTCCCTTAGCCTGGGTTGCTTTTTCCCTAGACGCCTCCTCACCTGGCTCCGTGACTTCATTCCCACCTCTGCTCAATGTCACCTTTTCATACACACTTCCCTTGAACCACCTGCGTGAAGAAGCACCCCCGTCACTCTCTATCCACCCACCTTCCAAGCCCTTATTTTCGTTGTTGTGTTTACTTTTCTCTCTCCTCCTCCATGAAATGTAAATGTCAGGAGGAAATGGGTTTGAGGTAGTGGACCACCAGGTCCCCAGCACCTGGCACATGGGGGGCACTGGGTGCAGCCTAGAGGCAATATGTGGGGCATTCTGCTATTTTTCCTTCGCGTTGCTTCCTCTTTTCTACCTTCAGACAGACGTGATGATGCTCGTTAACACTTGCCGATGGCAGTCACCGCGGGCTCCATCAGGCGTGGAGGAGAAGTGATCTCTCCTGCCTGCATGTGACGTCCTGTGCCTTCCCACCCTCGCAGCTGGCTTCCGCCGCAGCATGCGCCTTTGTCGCCGCAAGTCCCACCTGGGCCCGCTGCGCGCGCGGCCGTGCGGCCCCAGCGCGCCGGGCGCGCCGTACGAGGAGGTGGTCAGGTACCAGCGCCGCCCGTCCGATAGGCACCGCCTCATCGTGCTCGTGGGTACGTCCCTGCTCACGGCGGCGCTCCTCCTCCATAGCGAGCTTTTCCTGCTAAGCTTCGGCGGTTTGGCGTTGGGAGTAGTGGCAAAAGTAGCATTCTTGAGCGACTCCCCTCTAAACGCCTGAAAAAAACCCCTGTTTTATATGTGTGTGTTTATAAATAAGACTTTGTTGTCTCACGCTTTTTTTGCGTACAGTTGAGTGTGGTATGCCCCGGTATGTAGGTACTGGGGTAATAACAGATTGTATTATGATGAAGCTTGTTTTGTTTTGTTTTTTAACCCGTTGAGAGTTTGTTTTCTAAGCATAGATGAGTATTCCCCCAGACTGCATTATCAGTCTGTATCAGAAATGAAAATCCTTAAGATCTATTTCCCTAAGATATTTGGTTTTTTTTTTTTTTTAAAGATTTTATTTATTTATTTGACAGAGAGAGAGAGAGTGAAAGCAGGAACACAAGCAGGGGGAGTGGGAGAAGGAGAAGCAGGCTTCCTGCTAAGCAGGGAGCCCGATGCGGGGCTCGATCCCAGGACCCTGGGATCATGACCTGAGCCGAAGGCAGACGCTTAACGACTGAGCCACCGAGGCGCCCCTCCCTGAGATATTTGTAATCACCTTCTTTAGAGAAGTGTTTAAAGTCTTTTGGACTGTATGTCTGGTGCTAAAGAACAGGGCAAATACAGTACTGGGGCGACCTGCTTTTGTGACCAAGAGCTCTGCAAAGCCGGTCCCTGCAGCAGTGGGGATGTAGGTCTTGCTGCCATCTCTGTGTGTATTCCACCTGTGACCAGGGGAGGCCCCGGTACAGCAGAACAGCATGCCTTACCGCCAGGCCCGGCCACAGAATTGGCAGGGCTCAGGGCAAAATGAAAATACAAGAGCTTCTTTAAACATGACTAACATTTCGGGGTGCCTGGGTGGCACAGTTGGTTAAGACTCCAACTCTTAGCTTCAGCTCAGGTCATGATCTCAGGGTGTGAGATAGAGCCCCACCTTGGGCTCCTCGCTGGGCGTGGAGCCTGCTTAAGTTTCTCTCTCCCTCTGCCCCTCCTGCTCGTACCCTCTCTGTCTCTCTGTCTCTCTGTCTGAAATAAAAAAATAAATCTTAAAAAAAAAAAAAGTTTAACATTTCAAAATGGTACAGGGAGAACATTAAACCAAGTGCAGTATCCTAAGCATGGGCCCTATGTAACTGCATGAAGTCAGCCTTGACTCCAGTTACACATGGGGTGCTGACTCACAGAACCCGTAAATCTAAAGGCTGATTTCTGGGTTGTGATGTGATAGACACTTCATTTGACTGGAAAGGTAGGTTTTCTCGGTAGATTATCTGAAATGAAGCCAGAGAATTCTCAGAGCGCCCAACATTAGATGACGTTTGCTGGTGTGACCAATTCCTGTAATTCCCCAGCTTATTTCTGTGATGTTGAAGAAGTGTGGGTTACTCCGTTGGTCCCCAGGAAAATTCCTAAGAGCTTTCTGGAATTGTTTCAGTTGGTGAGAAGAAAAGATATTTAATTTCCTGAAAAACATTTGCTCTGAATTGTCTTCAATAGAAGAACTGAAATGATTATGTCACCACATAATTATATTTATCTATGTCTAATGATTTCTGTATGTGGCCTTTTGTGTTTAGGACCTTCTGGTGTTGGAGTCAATGAACTGAGAAGACAACTTATTGAACTTAATCCTAAGCATTTCCAAAGTGCTGTGCCACGTACGTGTAGTTTTTCTTTCCTAGCAGTTCATGTTTTGGTCAAACTGTCTTTGCCTCCGCAGATGCACCAATCTCAGTTAACTATGCCATACCATTTTTGTTGTAAAAACAAAAGACACCAGGGATAGTCCTTATATAATATTTCTAACTATATTTATTTTAACAGAGGGAACTGATTCATGGCCATGTAGCTCGCTAGGCTTTTAAAAGGTGACTGTCTCTTTTCCATTTCTTAACAATCATATAGATGACCCTTCAGGAAAACTAGTATTTAGTAATAATAGCTAAGTAATAATAGTACTTACTGCCTTCCTGGCACTGTGCTTGGCTCTTTAAATACCTTATCTTATTTTTTAAAATTTTAATGTATGCAGGTGTAATTTTATATAAACTGTAAGTATGATCATACCATCCATGGCAGGAAAGAGCAAGTACACGTGGGTGCTTTCCCTTCACTTTAGTTCAAGAGAGGAACTTAGAGAAACACTTAAGAGCTTAGTATGTGTTCCCTGCAGTCTGGGGGACACAGACGACCGGTGTCAGATTTATCCTTGAAAAATCTAAAGAATTTAGAGGAGTGGCTAGGAGCTGTAGTTTGGGAAGTAGCTGCCCTTTTAGAAATTACAAATGACTAGCTGGAATAGAGACAGATTTGAGATACTCGGTGGTTGTGGTGGTGGTGGTGGGGTTTGCAGAATAGCCCAGAGTCCTCCAGGAGAGCAGAGCCACATTTAAATATCTGCCAAGTCTAAAGGAAACCTATAGTATCCAGCATCAGCGTCAGGAAGTAAGAATTTTCCTGCTCTTTCCTCTCTTCTCTGCATTCTAGCCTTGGATAGCTATAAAACTGGGGAGGAACAGTAGAAAGGCAATGAAAGGGAAGGGAAGAAGTGAATCCTACTTCCTTTCCTGACTTTCAGCTTCTCTGACTGCAGCTTTTGTGGCTGTAGCAAGTCTGAGCCAGGTGTGGCGAGGAGGAGAAATCCAAAATAGAAATGAAATTAATAATTTTGATTATTACATAGGAACGGAGTTTTAGTTATTACATTGAGACTGCATTTTGTGGCACAAAAGATGGTGCCCCCCCTTTTTTTAAATCTAAGAATAATCAGAAGAGTCATGGTAACTGCTAGATTCTCATCCAGGGCCAGGGGAAGGTCTTGTACCACAGAAGGCAGTGGGGGACAGAAAACATTGCTTTATGGTCACATACCTTAGGTTATGCTTTCTAAACACTGTTCACACGTGTAAGAATGGACATTGATCTCCAAAACAAAAACCACAAAAGGAAGCACCAATTTTCAATAATCTGGATAAAAATAAAATTCCCACAGAACATAGAGGAACTGTAAGAAGTATGACTAGCCATCATTCAAAGTGAGAAAATGTTGTGCATATTTTGCTTTTTAAATTGAATGCATAGTTTCTAAGTTTAAGATGAATACCTCTAGTTATGCACCAGTTCACAGATTTTTAACCTACCATATAAAATATAGTCCAGTAGAAGCCACGGAGAAGGAGTCATCTTAAGTTTATATTTACATAATTTACTGTAACCTGAGAGCTATAGTGTTTTATTATAATTTTTTTTCAATACAAATCTATAGGAGAAGTGGCATAACTGTAGAAACTCTAACCATCTGCAGAGAGGCTTGAATAAAGAAAAAACAGGGGCATCTGGGTGGTTCAGTTGGTTGAGCATCTGACTTTTGGTTTGGGCTCAGGTCGTGATCTCAGGGTCATGCGATCAAGTCGGGCATCGTCTGTATACACAAGCAAGTTAGTTGCTCTCTAAAATCTTCAGTTATGGGGCACCTGGGTGGCTCAGTTGGTTAAGTGTCTGCCTTTGGCTTGGGTCGTGATCCCAGGGTCCTGGGATCGAGCCCCACATCGGGTTCCCTGCTCGGCAGGGAGTCTGCTTCTCCCTCTCTCTATCTCTCTCTCTGCTCCTCCCCCACCAAATAAATAAATTCAGTCTTTAAAAAAATAAAATAAAATCTTCAGTTACTTATCAGTAAACTATGGATAATAACATTTCATCTGGCTAGGTGGGGGAGGAATGAAATGGGATCTTGGGAAATGCACTATCTAAACAGAAGATATCTTATGTGCTGGGGGCCTTTAGGCATCTTAAGCCTCACACATAATTCATTCATGCCTATTTTGAAGTAAGAGCAGGTACCCCTTCGGTCCTCCCCATCCTGGCTTAACGCTTAACACATTCATGTCCACACCATGAGCACTTAATAAAGGTTTCTAGATGAACTGATTTAGATATGAGAACTTCTATCTTATCCCCAGTTCAGGATCCCTCTTTTTGGTTCTAGCATTTTATTTATCTGTTTATGTATTCATTTATTTATATTGATTGGACATCTTTATCCAGATGTATATTTGTACTAAATCAGAACAATTTGTAGATTCTAAAGACTTTTTTAAAAATTCCGTATTTTGATAGATACTACTCGCTCCAAAAAGAGTTATGAAATGGATGGACGTGAGTATCACTATGTGTCAAAGGAAGCATTTGAAAGCCTCGTGTATAGTCACAGGTAAGCTAGACGTTCGGAATCTAATTCCCTCCTTTGGTTATTTTACCTTCAAAATAGATCTACTGTTTTTATGCGTTACCCAAATTCCTTTTGGGGTAATTCCTTTTGTTTTCTGGGGGAATTCCTTTTGTTTCTGAAGAGTTAAGCAAGAACGTGTAAATTGGTAGACTTGTACACTAACTCATTGGGTTTGGAGTGGGAGCAGAATTGAAATTGCAAATTTTAGAGACTTTGGAGAAAGAGTTAAGTCCCAGATCCTTTAATATTTTTTTTCCTGTCAATTTTCCACTTGTGCTGGCGAAGTCCACGTATTTACATCCTATCTGTGTTACTACTAGTAATATTTTACTTGTAGAAAGAGTTCTTGTTCTCCTTGTGGCACCCTTGCAGGATGCTCGAGTATGGTGAGTACAAAGGCCACCTGTACGGCACAAGTGTGGATGCTGTTCAAACAGTCCTTGATGAAGGAAAGATCTGTGTCATGGACTTAGAGCCTCAGGTAGGTGTGTGGTGGAAGGTTTCCCATCTCCCCAAAGTAATGAATGAATGTCATGAGTTTTGCGCACATGCTGTAAGTTGTAGTTGAGACATTTTATTCTGTTAGCCTTTTAGGGATAAGACCACTTACCATATCTAAGGGCCAGGATCTTATGTGAAGGAACAGTTCACCAATATCTTGTCTTTAGTTAGGAAAGGAGTCTTGCTTCTCAGATACAAAAAGAGAACTGAGCTGGTGGCTATAAAGAAAAGTTCGAATCCTGCTTTGACCTTGATCACAAAGGCATCAAGGAAATTGGTGGAGGGAATAATATGTTGCTTGACACAAGGAGGTGAGGTTCCTATGTGGTTGTATCTACAGCTCCCTCTGAGACCATATGTGGAATGAGGCAGGAGTGAGCCAGGTAAGATAAAAAGCACACAATGTGTAGGCTCCATTTTTTTTGATCCTTGTATTTTGGGTTTTTTTTTTTGTAGTCATTTAAAAATAGACCACATGCGCTAAAGAGAATCAGGGGATAAGACAGTTGTTCTTCCTTGGGTCAAGGCTGGTGGTCAGTGTGAACATGTCAGTAGTATCCAATATAAGATAATAACAAGAGGAAAGGGAAGTGAGGATGAAACATAACTGATCCACCTTTAGAGTTTGTCTTTGTCTTTTGCCATGAGATTATGTATAGAATCCTATTCTCAGATTTCAGAAGGGTGTCATGACTAGTAAGAGGAAGAGCCACAATTTAAACTTAACTTTGATTCTCTTAATTATTAAAATGTTTATTTTTTAGAGTTGAGGAATTGGGGGCAAAGGAGAATAAATAAAAATAAATTGCTAAAAATAATTGATTTCTTTTTTTTTTTTTTTAAGATTTTATTTATTTCACAGAGAGAGAGACAACGAGAGAGGGAACACAAGCAGGGGGAGTGGGAGAGGGAGAAGCAGGCTTTCCGCTGAGCAGGGAGCCCCATGCAGGGCTGGATCCCAGGACCCTGGGATCATGACCTGAGCCAAAGGCAGATGCTTAATGACTGAGCCACCCAGGCACCCCGATAATCGTTGACTCCTGATCTGAGAAATTTTGAGAACATTTGTGTTTACTCTAGGAAATTAAGACTTCTATTTTTAAATGTGCACTTAATTTTTCTGTGTAGGGTATTCAAGTAGCTCGAACCCAGGAACTGAAGCCTTATGTCATATTTATAAAGCCATCTAACATGAGTTGTAGGAAGCAGTCTTAGAAAAATGCCAAGATCATTACAGACTACTTTGTGGACATGAAGTTCAAGGTAAGATACAGAGGAAATAGATGAATGTATTTTTTTTTCTAGTAAAAAGTCACTGTATTGTTTCCACAACATCCCTATGTTAAGGAATGTGATTTTTGTTTCTAATGAAAAATGCCCTTATGATTTATCCTTTTTACTGGACATGATTTGTAGACATTAAAATAAAGTATAATAAATGCTATGATGCTGCTCTTATTTTTTCTTTTTTCTAGTCTAGCTTAAAAAAAAAAAAGAACTCAAACCAGAGTTTGCAAAGCCACACGGAAACTGGGTGTGCATAAGACTGACGTTTACATTTTATTATTTATTGAATGAAAAAGTTTGAGAATTTACTTTAAAAATGCTGTAGTGAATGGGGCACCTGGGTGGCTGAGTCGGTTAAGTGTCTGCCTTTGGCTCAGGTCATGATCCCGGGGTCTTGGGATTGAGCCCACACCCCCCTCGAACTCCCTGCGCAGCGGGGAATCTACTTCTCCCTCCCCCTCTGCCCCTCTCCCCCTGCCTCTGCCCCCTCCCTGCTCTTGCATGCTCTTTCTCTCAAATAAATAAAATCTTTTTTAAAAATGCTGTGGTGAATATATCTTATCTGTAATATGAGGTATCTCTATAAAATGTATTTCTAAATGCAAACATCATGTATTAATGATGATGGAAATTATAGAGAGGCCGGGACAAGTGGGATTAATCAGTGAACTCTTCCTAGAATAGGTAATTTTTTTCCAGTTTTTTTTTTAATTAAATCCACCTTAACTATTTTAAATAATCATAAATATTCAGCAAGATGTATAAATCTTATATGTAACAGCTCAATGAATTTTTACCTGTGCATGCACCCAGATAACCATCACCTAGATCAAGATATTATATTCACTTATTTTGTGTGTGTGTGTATGGTAAAAAACACATAAAACACAAAACTTACCATCCTAACCATTTTTAACTGTACAGTTCAGTAGTGTTAAGTATATTTACATTGTGAAACAGATCTCTAGAATTTTTCATCTTATAAAAGTGAAATTAAACATATAGAATGCATCACAAATTTGCATGTCTTGCATGCATAGGGGCCATGTTTATCTGTATTGTTTCCAATTTAATACATGTGCTGCTGAAGTGAGCAAGATTATATTATTATATAATCCCTTGTTATTATTTCTATCTTCATATTTTTTGTGACTACTGTATGAAAGTCTGATTCTTCAGTTTGCATTTCAGACAGTGGAGTCCATGGATATATTCTCTGAATCTTACGGGCATTTAAAATTGTGTTCTCATTTTTATGGTGATCTAAACAAATTAACAAAATTGTCTCTGGGTCATGAGTATGGTCATCTTGTAAAGGAGTACCGCTACGACATTTCAGCGCCTGCATTTGTGTTTATGATTTTTTTTTTTTTTGAGAGAAAGGGCGGACTTGCTTTATTTTTATACCAAACCCTCATGTGCCCAACTAAAAGGCTTTCGTCTTGAAAGTGATAAAAGAAAGGAACCTCCCTAAACACTCGACCGGCAAGCTCTGCTGGGGGGGGGGGGGGGGAAGCACAGAGGCTGCCAGCAAACAGACGTGCAGGCGGAGTGCATGTAAAGCTCACTTTCTAAAGTACAATTTTGCTTGGCCTGTTCCACTGTTGGCAGCAAAATCATTAGAATTTTAGGCAACATGGGCCAACCACACACCCCAAGGAACCTGGAGTCTTTATCTCAAGCATAAAAAGTGCAGCCAACGCATGTTCCGGGGCCGTGGGGAGGGCACGAGCCTGTGGGAGGGGGCGGGCAGGGCCTGCACGTCCCCTCGGGAACCCACGCGCCTCACAAGCACAAGCGACCACACCAGCTCCGAGGTTGGGAGGACGACTTTACAGCTCGGCGCCAAGTGAGAGCTAGCAGAGAACAGGGCACAGTAACGCCCACGCCACCTGCCCCGCGGAAACCCGACGGCGCCTGCGCGGCGTGGAGCGGGGCACGGGCTTCAGAAACAGTAGGACGCGTGGGTGACCCAGTGGGCGGACTCCTCCTTGGAGCGCTTGGCGGAGCTGTGAGTGGTGCAAAGGGGCTTGTAAACTTCCGATTCTTCGCTGTCGGCAATGGACCTCTTTGTGGTTCCACGCAGAGGCTTCCCGACTTTTCCAGAAGAGCTCCCATTTGCTGCTGCACTTTTGGGAGCTGAGTTGCCTTTCTTCTCTCTAGAATCAAGGCTGGTTTCTTCAGGCTTCCCCGTCTTAATTTTTGATGGCCCTGGAGATTCTTCACTGACACCTGGCTTTGAGACAGACTCTGCCGCCTTGGGTTTCTTTGCTTTCTTCCCCAGCTTCGCCCTCAGCCTCCTCTCCTCCCTCCTCCTCTTCAGCGTTTCCACGTCCTCCTTGGTGCCGTTGAGCACGATGACGTAGTCCTTCTGGAAGGCAGCCCCACATGTGTGACAAACTTCTGCTTTTATCTCTTTCAAGGCTCGTTCAGAAAACACACAACCACAGCACCGCAGGAAGCAAAACCTGTGCGGGCCATTCATCTCCAAGCCCACAACGGGGCAGATGAAACGTGCCCGCTGGACGTCATCGTGTCTGTCACCTTTTGTGTTTTCTTTGTCCCCTTCCCAGGCAGGATTATCAGAAAGCCTTAGTTCTGTCACATTCTTAATGCTTTTAATGTGAGATGCTGCCTTCCCAAGAGCCTTTTCGGAAGATTTGTCCCATAGAAACTCAATGACGGCATCTTTGTTATAAAGTCCGCCAAGTTCACAGGCAACTATTGGTCGCCTTAGTATTTCTTGACTTAGAGTACAATAGTTCCATTGGGCCACTAATTCAGCATCTTGGTCAACCTTCTCCATCTTCTTCAGCCCCTTCACCAGTTCGTGTCTCTTGGGGATTCTTCCTCCGTCGCAACCCATCGCCAGCCAGGAGTCAAGAGTCAGTAGCGATATCTATTTGTGTTTATGATTGCACTGGCAACAAGTTGTACTATTTTAATTGTTGTGGACAAATAAGAAAATAACAGCAAGGAACTTAACGCATAGTGCCAAATGAAGGTCAAATGACCTTCACTAAATGAACGTTTCATATTACTGGAAATGGATAATATTAAAGGTGATTTAGGTCTATGTCAGCATGAAGCAAAGGACAATTAGGGTATGCCTAATTCACTAGAACCAGGTCATACCATCCTCATGTTGAAAGTGGCAAAATAATGTCATTCTTATCAGTATTTAATTTCAGGAACTGTATTTTACTTTATAAAACTTCATTTGCAATTTATGTAAAAGTTTTCTATTTAACTGGTAAATTTGTTTTTTTTTTCTTTCTCTTCCTTTCTTCTTTCTTTTTTTTTTATGTACAGTTTGAAAGCTTCAAGTGTTTAGATAATAGAATAAGAAAATTTGAGTCCAAATGGGAAGTTGAGGGGATTGTTCTGGCTACCATTACTTAGTTTTGCAAAACCTTGACCAGGGAAACATTAAGTAAGGCTAAAGATAGAAACATAAATTTTGTGGTTTAGAAGAGAGGATGTTTATTTGACCTAAGTGTTTTCGTAAATAGCTTCACAACTGAATATAACAGCAAAACAAATTGGGTATCATTTCTATTTATCTCATTAAGTCTGTTGCTATCCATATTTTTTTTTTTTAAATCTCTCATGAAGGATGAAGATCTACAAGAGATGGAGGATTTAGCCCAAAACATGGAGGCACAGTTTGGCCAGTTTTTTGATCATGTGATTGTGAATGACACATGCAAGACGCATGTGTCCAATTGTCTACAGTTGAGAAGGCCCAGGAGGAGCCTCAGTGGGTACCAGCACCGTGGGTTTCCTCGGATACTGAGTGTTAAGGAAGCCTCCTGCTTTGTGCCGGAGTTGTAACTATACCCATCTGTAACAGAGCTCTGGAATAACGGCTGCAAAGCAAAACAACAGTATTTGCTCCCTTTGTAATGTATGCAACTTTAAACGTGGTGCAGTTTATTCATTAAGCTTATTTGAAAAAAATATTTGCAGTGTATGCATGTAGAATTACCTCCTTGGCTTTCAGGAAAAAAAAAAAGTTTTCCTTTACCTCATATGCAGCAATGGTAAGAGTACAAACAATGTTAAGCCGCTGAGTATGAGAACTTCTCATAGATTTTGTATGGTCTTTGTACAATTCAGATAAAAGAGCTTCCCTAAATAAAATAAGTAGTACTTAATTTCAGAAACTGTATTTAACCTCATGCAATTTCTGTTTTATGAAGACGGCTTTTACAAAAAGTGCCTACTTGACTGACTCGGCAAGAAAAAAGGGTTAATGTACACATTTCACATCTAACATGAAAACGTACAGAAATGGCACTGCCCTCATCATTTATACATCAGTCTACAAGGAAAAAATTATTCTTCTGGTCAGAGCTGTAACCATCATTAATTTGCCTAAAAGCCAATATCCACATCACGCCTAAATTAGGAAAGGGCAATTGACTTTAGTCCTAGAGATCGGTATCTGAGAAAACCGTAAGATGAGACTGCTATTCCAGGAAGTCTTATTTTTCTTTCATCCCTAGGTCTTGAGACTTCCAGTCAGTCTTGCTGCCCCTGTATCTGTCTTCTGCATCATTCTCTAATGTTCCCCATACCCACACTCTACCCCTCTACCCCTCCAATATCTTTCTTAACTATAAAACAAACCAAGTGCATACTTCAAAATATTTTTAGTTTTTTTACTTGAAGTGATCTTTAAAAAAAAAAAAAACCCAAGAAAAAATTAAACCCAACCTTCCCACACCCCCCAAAAAAAAACCCAACCAAAGAAAATTAAGTCATTTTTAATGATAACGTGAACTTGGATCTGATTTATGTTGTGGGTTTGGTTGGTTGGTTGGTTTTGTTTTTGTTTTTGTTTTTTTTTTTTTTGAGAAAAAGCTTTCCCAAACGTGATTTACAGAGATGGAGGATAAGCAACTGGTGAAATTTTGAGAGTTGCCTGTATCAACACACAGACACACACGCACACACACACACAACTGGAAGAAATCTGATATTTGTATCAATACATACCCATCCTGAAACATTGGGCTTGGGGGCGGGGAGAAGGGGGCATCTCTAGCACCCTACAAAGGCGGTGCACGAGTTGTGTCTTTCCACAATGTCAGCTTTATTCATTCATAAAGCAGGGTTTACACAATTTTAACAGGAGTAGGATTCCAAACTGAATGACATCTCACTGCCTGTTTAACTTGGCTTCACATACGCCACACAAGAAACGATACAAAGTCACATAATAAACGAAATACAAGGGTAAGAAGTTAAAGAACCAAACGCCAAGTCAGTGAGTGAGTGCCTAGTTGAGAGGAAAACTCAGTCTGGTAGGGGTCAGCTCTGGGTGCTTACTGCTTATTATGTTCAAGCAGTGGAGGGGTCTCTATTTTGTTGAGATCAGTCGGGAGGTTGCCTTTCAAATGCAGTCAGGCTTGGAAGACGAGTCAGCGTCTGGAGAATCTGACAGGTTGCTACAGAAATCCTCCCCTTTTATTTTTTTTTATTATTATTTTTTATCTAAAGGAGTTTAATCGGTCTTTAGCCCTTCCAGACTTCTGGTTCTAGTGATTATCAGTTCCTGGTTCTTCCAGGCAGTCTTGGCCTTGCTGATCATCAGTTCTTGGTACTAACAGCATGTTTGGATTTGAGCAGTATCTATACTCACTCGTGGCCCTTGGCTGCCTTCGATTCATTACGTCACTGCTTGAAAAGCGTGATTCCATTCTGAGGTCTACATGGCTAACCCGGCCCCTCCCTAATTCTGACGCCTCGAGGGCGGGGCATGGCCCAGCGAAGGCAGGCGGAGACCTAGCCCCCAGAGCTGCGGCCTAACCTGACAGCGGGTAGCCAGGCGCGGGGAGCCGGGCTCGGGCCGCCGGCGGTTGCGCTGAGGGAGCGCGGTGGGGAGAGCGCCATGAGAGCGGAGTCGGGGCTTCGGCTGGAGGCCCTGCCGGTGAGCGGTGAGGGGCGCTTTCCGCCACGCGAAGTGGCGGAAGCGGAGGGTGCTGCCCTAACGCCTCAGCAGCCCCTGGGGCGGGGCCGATGCCCAGGGCTGGGGGTCGCAGAGGGACAGCCCTGCTCCTGGTGTCTGCTCGTCCGCCCCTTTGATGCTCACAGGCTTGGACCGGAGCGGGCGATGGAAGTTCGTCCCGAGGCCGGGACCCGAACTCCTGGAGCCAGGCGAGGACCCGGGCGTCAAGTTTCCGGGGGCTTGAGTGTCCGTGTTGCTATGACGACGCCTCTCTACGTTGCCTTCCCAGCCCCTGGGTGTTCCGGGACAGCCAGCTAGGTCTTTCTTGCGGACTCCTCCTGGAAGGCGTTTAGTCACCCAGGAAAGAGATCGGAGTTTCCGAGTGGCGACTTTTAATCATGGTCTTTTCCCACCTCCCTCGAACAAATCACTGTAACCACTTAGAAAACCATGGGTAGAACCGTGATTGCTGCCCCACGCCCGCTGGAGACTCTCTTCCCAGGCATGTCAGCCCCTACTCCGACGTCCCCTTTTCCACAAGGCTAGACCGCAAAGGCCCGACCAGCTCCCTGCGCTGGCCCTCGCCCACCTCTTGCAGAGCAGTGGCTGAGTGCCACCGCGGCCAGTGCCGCGCAGTCCGATGACGCACGGCGCCTGCGCGCGGCCGGCCGGGGCAGGAGGCCGAAGGGGGCGGGCTGTGAGCTCTGGGCGCCTGGCGGCCGGCGGGTGGCTGCCGGGAAGGCCGGCTTTAGACGCAATGGGAAAGAAGCAGGTGGTAAGCGAGCCTTAGTTACGTTTGAGTTATTAGGCTTTTGTGTTCAGTTGAGCCGTCCGACTTTTGAGGGGCTCAGAGGTTGGCCTTGTGGATGGGTGACACGTCATTTTTGCGGGACTTTTGAAATGTGGAAGTGTCTTGTGAACTGAATCCTTGGACAGAACGCGATCCGTAGCATCTTTGCGATAGCTCTTTCTTATGACTGTTGTTCTTCTCCAGTTGTAATTTTAATGACCGGATAGTGTTAAGACAGCCTGCTTTGTCCTAATCTCGTAGCATTCGTATTAATACACCGAACGAATGGATTGCTAAGTGGGACTGTAATGTAACCCTTTTGAGTCAATGTCCTTTGCAAGCCGCATGAGACACTTGGAACATTAAACAGATTTCGAGGCATTTCTGTTAGTATTTTATTTTGAAAGATTCCAGAATGCTTCCCAACTGTAATCTCTCTGAACTGCAAACACAACTTTTCTTTTCATGTATAGTATCATTTATAAGGTGTGTGTTTCTTTTTTAATTCTCTCTACCCTGAAACGCGTTCCTCATGCTGTATGCACAGGGATTTTTTTAAAAAGTATGTTACTGTGTGGTTTAAAACCTCCATTGGCTTCTCATTGAATTAAAACGAACTCTGGACATTTTCCTTCTGTCTGCAAGAGCCTAATTAATCTGACCCCTGCCTACCCTTGGCATCTTGCCTACTATAACTGTGCTACAGCCTTACTGGCCTTTTATCTGAAACCTTTTATCTCTCCTAAAAGGCTTTGTATTTACTCCCCTTTGTCTCCTTTCTTATTCAGGTCTCAGCTCAAATATCTCTGAGAGACTTTGCTTAACTAAAGAACACTCCACAGCCTCCCTCATTTGTGTGTGTTTGTGTGTGTGTGTTCATAATCTTCTAATACTTAACCAGTACAATGGAAGTACCAAAAGCGGGGATTTCTCTGTTTTGTTCATTAATGTATTTGTAGTCCTTAGAACAGAGCCTGGTCTCTGGATAGAAAGGAGTGTAGGAAGGAAGGAATTTTATATGAAATTTAGAAATGGTAGAACAAATTTAGAATTGCCCATCTGATTCTCATTAGTACTTCCTAGGTTTCATTGGATGTACAGGGTTATCAAAAGATTCGAAGTACTTGAAGTAAAGATGTTCTGAGACTTTTACTTACAAGCAATTTTCTTTTCCCCATAGCGTCCTCCACGAGCCCTTCCACCTGTGCCAAGGTAAAAATAAGTTACAGTAATTTTATCATTGAGTTTTAAAAATGCAAAATGAATCAAGTGAAAAAATTGACTAGTACCATTGCAAAATTATAATAATTCAGAGAAGACTTCTTGAAAATTTTAGGATAAGGCTTCCTAAAAGCTTAAAGGTAAAAAAAACTTGAATCATTAGGAAAGCAGTTGTAATTAAATGTTCTGTTTCAAAGCCTGAATGTCAACATGCTTAAGATAATGGATCCATTCTGAATGTTTTAATGTCTTGTTTATCAGACTTTTGATCCTCTTTTGTTTGCTAGAATAGTTTCCTCAGAGTTTAAGCTGATTTTAATCAGTGACAAAATAAGAATTCTTAATCTGCTTAATCCACTTTATTAATAGACAGTAGGAAATATGTATATGTAAGTTCAGAAAATATTGGGGTTATTTTGTTAGCGGTTTTATTCGCTTTTTACTTACGAAGAATAAGCTAGCTTATAAACTAGCTGACTGTGTGAAAGCTTACTTTATTTTAAATTTATAATGACCTAAGTCAGTTTTCAGTCTGACAATATAATAGATTTCTAATTAATAGTTTCTTTTTTTTTGTCTTTGTCCAATTAAATTTGGTCGGTGTCATGTAAAGTGCTAATCAAGGTGAGTTAGTTCACTCTTTTTTTTTTTTTTTTTTGAGTTAGTTCACTCTTAATGTAAAACTTTTAAAATTGGGAGTTCAGAAGTTAATTTGATTCCTTAATGTTTTTCTTAAAGTTGAATCTGAATGGTATAATTTATAATATTGTAATATCCTTTTATCAAAATAATCTTATGACTCCTATTTTTTAAATGAGGTTTGATATATAACAGTAGTTGTATGATTGATATTTGATTCATTCCTGAATGGAGTCACCCAGAATATAACCATTGGCTAGTTTATAGTTCTGTAATAGGGACTACATTTTCTTTTGTCTCATTTAATCAGGATAGACTGGGTTATGCTATACTAACCTCAAGATCTCTGACTTAATATCATACAGGGTTATTTCTGGTTAATGCAGAGTGCACTGTGACAGCAATCCAAGGCAATTGTCTTTCACCATTC